GTGCATGGGTGGGGGCCGGCTGGTTTGCCCTGAAGGGGGTCCCGGATCAGGGTAGGGGTCCTGCTGGGGTGCCTGGCCAGCCTGGGTGAGGGGCTGATGGGTGTTTGCAGGCTGGTCACACCCCCTTCAGAGTGGAGGTTCCCACTGGGGTGCCTGGCCAGCCTGGGTGAGGGGCTGATTGATGGCTGTTTGCAGCTGGTCACACCCCCTTTAGGGTGGGGGTCCCCACTGGGGTGCCTGACCAGCCTGGGTGAGGGGCTGATGGCTGTTTTCAGGCTGGCCACACCCCTTTTAGGATAAGGGGTCCCCACTGGGGTGCCTGGCCAGTCTGGGTGAGGGGCTGAGGGCTGTTTTCAGGCTGGCCAAGCTCCCTGGTGATGGAAGCTCCCAGCCTCTCCTTTTTTTATTTATTTTTTTATTCTGGGATTTATCTTCTATAATTGAAACTTTGTTGCCTTGAGTGGAGCTCAGAGCTGGCCGCAGCAGGCAGGAAGCTTGGCTTCCTTCATCACTGGGCCATCTAAGCCTCCTGTTTGCTCCAGCTCCATGGCTGCTGGCCACCATCTGGGTTGGGTTAATTTGCATATAGTCGCTCTGATTGGCTGGTGGGCGTGGCTTAAGGTGTAGCGAAGGTACGGTGAATTTGCATGTTTGTCTTTTATTAGTGTAGATAACATTGGCAAATATGTTCTCCCATGCAGTGGGCTTTCTTATTGTTTTGTTGGTGGTTTCTCTTCAACTGCAGAAGCTTTTTATTTTGATATAGTCCCATTTATTTATTTTCTCCTTAGTTTCCTTTGCCATAGGAGCTGTATCAGTGAAGATGTTGCTCAGACACAACTTTGCCTAATATCCTTGCAGTGCTTAGAATATTTAACTAGTTTTTTTTTGGCAAGTTTACTTTAGTTTTCCTGTTTTAAAAAGTCATTGTTTATTATACTATTACATGCATTTTTTAAATTTTCAGGATATATTGTCAATGCAAATACAAATGGTATTTATTTCATAACAGTGTGCCCTTAGAAAATGTTACGTTATTATTTATGAGTAGATAGCAAATTACTGAAGTATTTAAGAAAAAACTTCTGGAGGGCAAAACTAAACTTTCAAGAATGATTGTTGTCTCTAAATCATTTCCTTTGTTGACTGGCTTTTTCCTTCCATTCATGTTTTATTATTTATTTTCTCATTCATTGTAAAAGCATATTCACATTTTATCAAGTTCAAACAATAATCATGTAAAATATATCTATAATCTCACTGTGTAAATCACTGTTATCAGTTTACTTACCTGTGTTTTAATCTTTATAATTGTTTGTAGTTGCAAATGAAGATGTGTGCCTTGGAAGAAGAAAAGGTATTAATTACTTTTTTAACAATTTAAAGCATGGTTAAATGTATTTGAGTATCAATTGTTGCCATAATGGAAAGGAGTATTAGTAATACACTAATGGAAACTGTTAATTGCTGAAAATCTTAGACACAGAAAGGACCCAAGGGAATCGTGTTACTTGACCACTGTTATTTTGCAGTTGAGAACATTGAGACCTATCAAGATTTGCTGAAGTTCAGTATCCCATTTTGAAGTGGTAAAGTTGGGACTAGAACCCAGGTCTCTTCAGCCCCCAAATTAATGCTATTTCCACTCTACTGCAATTAAGTGTAATATTTTTTAGTGCTTTTTAATGCAATTACCTTCTTTAAAAAACATTAAAATGATTGTCATCCGGGTGCCAACCAACTGGAAAAGAGGACACAACTCCAAACATTCCTAGAAATTCATCTGGCATTAAACATTTTTCCTAGCTATCTAATAGTTAATACATGTTTTGAGTATGTCAATGAACATATCACTTATAATATTAATAATTTATGGTTTGTTATTTTTAGCTAAAGACCTTCTTTTAAAAATTCTCCCATATCCTTAAATTTATAAGACAAATGTACCTGTATTTTGTTAATTAGAATATATTTATTCTAGCTATATGAATTAAATACTTAATTATACAGTATTCATAAGTTCTCAAGAATGGTGTATTGATAAAATTTGTTGTTATAAGATTTTTCATTTCATCCAGGTATCAAGAATAGAGGAGAGAGTGCTCTGGGATTCTTTTTATTTATTTATTTATTTATTTATTTTTAAGGATTCTAGAATGTAATAAGACATATAGAAAATTAGATGGAGAAATTCCAAAGAAAAATTTCATTTCTTTTTTTTAAAATTCTTTACTGTTTAAAGGATTACATATAGTATTACATATGTCTCCTTTTTCCCCCATTGACCTCTCCCCAGCCACCCCTCCCCCCAGCACATTCTCTCACTTCCCTACTGTCTGTGTCCATTGGTTGTGCTTATATGCATGCATACAAGTCCTTTGGTTGATCTCTTACCCCTCCACACATACCCTCCCCTGCCTTCCCTCTGAAGTTTGACAGTCTGTTTGATGCTTCTCTGTCTCTATTTTTGTTCATCAGTTTATGTTGTTCATTATATTCCACAAATGAGTGAGATCATGTGATATTTATCTTTCTCTAACTGACTTATTTCACTTAGCATAATGCTCTCCATGTCCATCTATGCTGTTGCAAATGATAAGAGTTCTTTTATACAGCAGTGTAATATTCCATTGTGTAGATGTACCACTGTTTTTTAATCCACTCGTCTGCTGATGGGCAATTAGGCTGTTTCCAAATTTTAGCTATTGTAAATTGTGCTGCTATGAACATAGGGATGTATATGTCCTTTCTGACTGGTGTTCCTAGTTTCTTGGAATATATTCCTAGAAGTAGGATTACTGGGTCAAACTGGAGTTTCATTTTTAATTTTTTGAGGAAACTTCATACTGTTTTCCACACTGGCTGCACCAGTCTGCATTCCCACCAGCAGTGCACGAGGGTTCCTTTTTCTCC